CAAGCTACATCTACCCTGTATGTTCCCCCTGGAGACACCCCCTGGGGCAAAGTGCCCCCAGGGTGTCTAAGGAGGAGCAAACTGGGTCAAGTGGGGAAAAAGCTTCCATGCCAATCAGGAGTGGGATCTAGTACCTGACTAGCCCCTGAACTTTCAACCTGGACAAGATAAGGAGACTCAGTCTCAAAAACCAAAACAAGCAAACAAAAAACCACAAAACCACACAACAGTACTGACATGTCACATTCCCCAATTTATTTAGACATAAAAAGCATGTGAACCTAATCAAAGCTATTTCCTTCCCTTTTTACTGCCTCCAAAAATGCTATTTCAGATTGGAGCCTAACTAGTTCTAACAACAAAAAATCTGATCTGTGTAGGAAGCAGAGATGACAAAAGTCCTATGTTAATAATAACTCACATTTCTATAGTATCTTAAGTTTTCAAAGCGCTTCCCTCACAACAACTCTCTGAGATAGGTAGCCCAAGTATGTTCCCTTTAATGGGGAAAAGAATGGAGTCTCTGAAGGTGAAATGAATTTAAACAATCTTACAAGTCAACTTACTTAAAGCCATGATAACTCCAAGATCTAAAAGTTCTATGCAACCCAGAGGAAGGCCTAAATTTGTATTTTTGCAAACTGAGCACTTCCTCTTTTGAACCAAATAAATTCCCTCTATCTACCCTTAAGCTGCTTTCCTATGAACTAAACTCTCAACATTAAATCAGCTTATCACCTTTATACAAATGACTCCTAAATTTACATACATATATGTGTATACGCATATGATATGTGTGTGCATGTGTGTAGGGAGAGAGGGAGAGAGGGAGAGAAGGAGAGAGAGAGAGAGGGAGAGAGGGAGAGAGAGAGAGAGAGAGAGAGAGAGAGAGAGAGAGAGAGAGAGCATTGTTTCCTCCCAGTACTATATGTAGTCTCACACCTTCTACTACGTGCTGGACAAATACAGTAGGAGGCCCAATTGGCATCTCAAACTGATCCAAAACTAACTTTCCTGAGATAATATATATAAAGCACTCTGCAAAGTTTTAAGGACTACATAAATGTCAATTGTTAATTTTATTATTCCTCACTAAACTCATTCCCCTCCTCCAACCTCCCTCATTTTTTTCTATCTATGGCACTATCATCCCTCCCACTCTTGCAGGGAAATCTCAGCATCATCTCTGATGCTTCTTTATCTCCTTCACACCCCCTTTCCAGTATAATTATGAGCTACAAAAGCTAACATGATCTTAGCCTACATTAAGAGGCACAGTGAGCAGGCCAAAGGCGAGGATCATCTTCTGATCTTTGCCCGGGTAAGATCATATCTAAAGCATCGTGTTCCGGGCGTGGAATTTTAGAACAGACATTGAGAAATTAGAGAGTAGGGAGAATAAAACTATGCTAGTGAAGGGCCTTGAGTGCCAGCCATTATGAAGACTTAATTAAAAGAAATTAAAATATTTAGCCTGGAGGAAGCTAAGAAAGGACAAGATGACTCCATCTTCAAGGGATACTTTAAAGGGCTGTCACATGGAAGAGGGATTAGACTTGTTCTTCTTGGTCCCAGTAGGTGGAACTAGGAGCAATGGACAGAAGTTTCAAAAAGCCAAATCTAACCTTGGGGGCATAAATTTAGAGCTGAAAGGGATCTCAGAGATCATATAGTCTAAAGTTCCTCATTTTTTACTGACCAGGAAACCCAAAGCCTAAGTGACTTACCCCAGATCACACAGGTAGTGTGAAGGACACAGGATTTAAACCCAGGTCATCTGACTCCAATAAGGAAAAACGTCCTAACAATGAAAGCTATGCAAAAGTGGAATGGGCTTTCTGGGCAGATGGAAATCTCTAAATGAAAGCTGATAGACCATTTATTTGTTATAGAAAAGATTCATCCTCACCTTAAAGAAGCCTTTTCTTCCTTCAAGGTTCAACTCAGGTACCATTTCCTCTAGAAAACCTTCCCTCATCCCCCAAAATATAAAGTCTTCCCTCTCTAACTTTCCTAAAACACTTTTTCTGGTTTGTTCTCTTATTCCCCATCACATAACCTCACACCACACTTCTATAGTCTCTAATGGCACAAAAGCCTCTCAAGCCAAGTAACGATTGTTTTTCATCTTTACATCCCCAGTGCCTTGCACAGAATACGTATTTAACAAATGTTCACTGAATGAATGAAATGTGTGAGTTGTAAGTAGTTTTGAAATTAACCATGAAGAAAACAATATCCCCTAAGTGCCTGCAGTCCAGATGATTGAGAAATCCACTGAAGTCCATCTCGTGCACCCATTCAAAGAGAGATAAATGGACGTTCTTGAAGGCTACGTCAGGGGAACACAAGCTCTGGCAGTTCCTAGCAAGCTGGAAAGACTGAGTTCATTGGTTCAGCTGTAATAGGCTGTTGTCTATCATCTGACACTTGACCTAGTGAAGTGCAGAGGCCTAGCCATTGGATGAATTGTTTCAGTCAGACCTAAATGGTCTTGAAAAAGGCTGCAATTTGCTCAGGTGAAAAGAATAGCAACACTAACAAAATTATGAATTCTTTTTGGGGGGGGCAATTAGGGGTTAAATGACTTGACTTGCCCAGGGTCATATAGCTAATAAGTGTCTGAGACTGGATTTGAACTCAGGTCCTCCTGACTGCAGGGCCAGTGTTCTATCCACTTCACTACCTACCTGCCCCAAAATCATGAATTCTTTAGTATTATTCTGATCCTTCCCTAGCAAGGAAAGAAGAGGGTAAGAGAAACAACAGAATGTTTAACAGTGAAAACACTTAACTTTCAACTTGACCAGTGTGAAAAGCTGGATATGCTGTGACATACACAGGGCTACTTTACAGCTGAACTCTACTAGCAATGCTTCCTCTGATACCTCATTGTAGCATGAAGCTTCCTGTTGTGTTATCAGTAGACCACTGGCACTATCAGATGCTAACTAGCTATAAAGGCTCCACAAACACCCCAAATACAGGATTAATTCCGTTGCCCAAGGACCAGCCAAGTTCAGGTAGCCACGTTATTGGAAAGTTGGCCAGTATGGTACATTTTTCGGCCAAACAATTGAGGAAAATAATTTCATAAGGCAGTTAGCCTCTCTGGGTCAATGGAAAAAATACACCAATAAAATTATGGATCTTTGAGATACTGAAGTATAAGTAAAGCTATGCTCTGTGACAAGGCTTTTACAAAATAACAATACAATAAGAGGACCCATCCAAAACCAGGTTCACCAAATCAATTCTGCAGACACTTACAGGGCACCCACTATGAAGACTGTGTCAAGGTCTAGGGGAGATAACAAAGTTTAGATAAAATACCTTTCCTAACATCACAGAGTTCATACTCTACCCATATGGGGTCAGTTTAAGAATAGGTGAAGGGGTCAAGAGTGAGAAAAGTTTAAGAAGCCCTTGTCTAGAAGATGCTAACTTAAGACATTATAGAAATAGGCAAACTAAAAGGAACACAGTGGGGAGAGAGAAGGTAAAAGCCAAAACCACCAGGAAATTTTGGTACCCTGCTACTTATTTATCAACTTTTACTTACCTAGCACTGGCACAAATTGAATAAATCATAAGGTATGAAAATTACAGAATATCATTGCACTGTGACAAATGTCAAACCAAGAATTCAGAGAAAATTTAAATGAAATTAAAGAAGTATAGTCACAATGACTACTATAATGAAAACTCAAAATGAAATAAAGCATATGAAATTAATGAAAACTCTAAAAGGCTCCTGAATTTGGATTAAAGACAATGACAAAATAGCTCCTTTTTTTGACAGAAGACAATGAAGAAGCCACGTGACCAGTATCAAGAATGCTTGTCAGAACTAGGGGTTTGTTTAACTGTTTATTTCTTGGGGAGAGGTTTTCAGGTGAGGTCAGTCGTATCAAAAACAGAAGTAATCCAAAAAAAGGTTTAAAAAATAGTGATGCACATAACATGCCAATACTGAACAATACATTCAACTGAACAAGAACTTTTTTCTCTTAGCACTTCCATTTTCATAAGCATTTTGAAAATGTACTTCTAGGAGGAAAGACAAATGAATCACTTAGTACTTTTTCTAATAAGAATAGGAAAAGTCTACCAAACCCAAAGAACCCATGCCAAGCTTTGGGAATTCATGAATCGCTAGATGGCAGCATAATCCTGTTTGCATGCTAAACAAAAAAAAAAAAAAAAAAAAAGGCGGGCATTTAGCAAACTTACTGTTTAACTCTACGATCCTGATTCTGACTCTCCATGTTCCCCTTACCTCAACTATGTTCCCACCAAAACAAATATGTAACCTCTCCTGCTAAAATCCTGTAAAAGAAAATCAACTGAAGGAACTGTCTCAGCCACTTACAAGAAACTCAAGCTCCCTTTCTTCCTAGTCTCTCTTGGTATGGAATACCAAAACTGTTAATGCAAGTGAACACATCCTTTGATTATACTCTGGTTGGCTCTGGGGACTTCACCCTCCCAACAGAGAGCAATGGTTTTCTTATTTATACTACTAGATGGTTATTAAAGGTGATGCTGGTACTTTTCCTCTAAAGACACTTCATTAGCTCTTAATTGACCCTGAAAATTATTCTGTACAGCAAAGAAAGAATCCTTTGGGACAAAGGATTAAAAAGGATTTTTAAAAGCAGGGGAGAGACAAATCACAAGTGCTTAGGAGAAACTCAATAAATCCTAATTGACTATTATTTTATTTTGCCTGATTTAGGTACCTCTAACAATAATACAAAAATGATGATGATGATGACGATAGTTAACATTTATATAGCATTTGCTATATGTCAGGCACTGTGCTAAGGGCTTTACAATAGTTATCTCATTTGATCCTCACCATAACCCTGGGAGGTGAGTGTTATTATCCCCATTTTACAGATGAGGAAACAGACAAAGTGGTAACATTAGTAGAGATTCCTCCTGCCAGGCCTTGCGGGGGTGGGGGGGGGGGACAGAAGGGAAAAAGGTCGGTTTACCTGTTTGCCCCGATAAAAAAGCCTTTGTCTCCCTGGTTCCACCCTGAACACTTCCTGGATCTTCAACCTCAGCTCTTCCACCTTGGTGAGCTTAGAGAGGGAGTCTACCCGGTGGGTCTCCTTGCCATCCATGGTACGGACCTGGATCCACATGTTGGTAGCTCTGTGGGAAGGACGGAGATAAAGGAGGAAAGGAAGGAAAGAAAAAAGTGTAAGGAAGGGAGAAGAGAAAGGAAAAGGAATAAAGGAGGAAGAATGAAGAGGGGAAAAAGACAAGAAAGGGATGTAGGAAAAGAAATGATAAAGCAAGAGGAAAAAGAGGATAGAAGGAAAGAGTAAATAAAGAAAGAAAGGAAAGGAGTAGGAAGAAGGAAAGAAAAGAAAGAGGGAGAAAAAAATGAGAGGGAAAGAGGAAAGATGGTAAGGAAGGAAAATAAAGTAAAAGATGGAAGAAAAGGTGGAAGGAAAGAAAGGTGGGAGAAAGTAGTAAAGGAAAATAGGAGAAAGAAACGAAGGAGGAAGGAAAGGAAAGAGAAAAGGAAGGAAAAGAGGGAGAGAGGAAGGAAAAGAGGGAGAGAGGAAGGAAAAGAGGGGGGGAAGGAAAAAAGGAGGGGAAGTTGAGAGAAAGAGCCAGCGCTCACACTCACCCCCGCCTGCCTGGGCAGTCCCGGGGGGCTCCCCCCGCCCCGGGAGGCTTGGGGGGCGGGGCCCACGCCCTGCCCCAACCCGCACTGTCCTCTCAGGGACCTCCACAGGGCAGGCCCCGCCCCCGCCCCGCCTTTCTGCTTTACCAACCCGCCCAGGACTCACCTCCTGGGGAGGGGTCCCGGCTCGCGGGCCGGCGCGGGCTGAGGTGGTCTCGAGCCAGCCTGCCCAGGCCCGCCCGGCCCCACCACCAACTCCCCCTCCGCCTCCCAGGGTGGCGCGCGCATTCCGCTCCCCAACCCCCATAGGAGAGAGAATCAATGAACGCTCTCAATCTAGCCCCCGCCCTCACCCCCATGCCTCTCCACCACCGACCCCCTTTCCCTCAGTCCAGTCCCGAAGCCTCCGCATTCATTATTGGCCAAGTTCGCTTTGCACGCCCCGCCCCACCCAATCCCATTGGACGAGGCCCAAGGAAAGGCGGAGACAACTAGCAATGGCGCGCGAAGTCGTTCTCCGCGCCACAATTGAATTCGCACTTTCACCAAGAGCCCCGATCCCGCGAGATCATGCAAATAAGCCATCACTTCCTAAGGGGCTGGTGGATAGGGAGCGGGATGCTTGTGCTACAGAGACCAGGCTTTGAAACTACTTTACTACGCCCTTGGTACCCAGGGAGCTGCAAACGCTAGTGGTACCCGCCCACACAACAAGGGCTGTAGCGCTAAGTGCCTCCTAGAGAAGGCAAGTGGAGCTCCCCCTCTTCTCTCTTGGGATGGCAGCTGGCCCCGAGTGCCCCCCAAAAAAGGCAGGTGGCAATGGAAGCTTGGCTAGGGAAGACGCCTGGCACTAGAACCCCCCGCGCCATGGTTGGTGATCGATGCCCCCCACCCTGAAAGGACCCTGGTATTAGATACCCTAGGGGAGGGAGGTGGTATTAGATGCCCCATCAAGTCGCCTGGCACTGGATGCCCACCCACAGCAGAGCGTCCTGGATGCCTCCTTAAAAATAAAGAGAGCCATCCATGCCCCCAAATGGGTGACAGTACTGGGTGGCCCAAGGTAAAGTTGGCAGGCAGTCCTTCTCTGGGGCCCTTAGGAAACACCAAAGGCCTTGGGGGGCTCCAAGGAAGGTGAGCTGCGCCCAAGGAGGGCCGGTGGCGTGTTCTGGTGGCGCTGCCAGATGCTCTACGGTACATGGTACTGGTGGTCTCTAGAGACGCTGTCTTCCCAAACAACTTCAGTACCACACGGGCCATCTCCAATGAGCTGAAAACTAGACTGGGGCAGGGCCAGTACTAGAAGGTCCTGCCTTTGCCCCTCCTGGGAGTAAGCAAAGCCAGGCCCCTCATTCAAATCCTTCTTTCCCCCATTCCCCATGCTCTTCCCGGTATCCACTCCTCATTCTAGCCCCGGTTTAATTACTGCCCTGGTTAAGACAACCATTGCAGAAAGATGGTGAGTGGGCGGCAACGGCAGAGAAGTAGGACCCCCGGGGGATGGCACCCGTGCCGGCCCTGCGAATGTAGCCTTTGCCCGGCCGGGACTCACTAAATGCTCGATAGCCGGGGGCTGAAGCAACTCTCACCGTCCCTAGCTCCCTCGGATCTTCGGACGCGGGAACTCCGAGAGGAATTCCCAGTTGCAAAGTTCCCGAGTTGCACTATCAGTCCCGACCCAGAAAAAAAAAAATGCATGGCCAGCCCACGGAGTGGAGCCCAGAGCTGTGACAGACAACTCACCTCCGCCCGCGGCGCTCCCAGCTGCTCTGCAATTTCCCGCGAAAGCCCCGGTTTGTAGCTTGGCGCTGAAAAACCCCAACCCAGGCTAGCAGCCCCTGATTGGCCACCTCGTGGCGGGAATTAGGAAAGAGGGGTGAGGAGGCCCGCCTCCTCCGTCCCCCAGCCCCATCCGGGGCCCCTTGCCCCTCCCCGCCTGCACCCGAGAGCCTAGGAGGCGCCAGCCAAGGGGGGGAGCCGGGAGCAGCGGGGCCACTGTATCCCCAGCAGGTAGCTGCTTGCTGCTACTGCTATTGCTGCTTTCGCTCCTGCTGCTGCTGCTGCTGCTGGGACCTGGCGAACGAAGTAGGCACTGCCACCAGCAAAGGCACCGCTAGGAACTGGAGCTGGGCCAGCAAACGCGAAACCCGAGCTCCCAGTGTTTACGGCTCCTTGGCTTCAGCCCGGAACTCTAGACAGCCCTCTCCTGTCCCATCTCTTGGGGGTGGGTGTTGGGGGGTGGGGGGAAACCATCCGGTCCTGTGACACAAACACCCCCCTACACATTCCCAGGATGATCAGCTTCCTTCCTTACACTCCCACACAAAGACCCCGCGAAAAGAAAAGGGACCGGGGACAGGTGGTGCATGCGGTTGTCACTTGCCGGAAGCTTTTAAACGGCTTGCCCAATTTACCCATTCCACAGCCTGCCCCACCCACCCTAAATTTCCAACCTTATCCAAGCTTCCTCTGCAGGACCAACCCTAGGCTCCAGCCAGGCCAAGCCTGCAGGGGCCCGCCTTGCTCCCTATGACCCCTACCTCCCCTCCCCCAGCTCTTAGTTTCCCGCCTGCGAAGGCCGGTTCATACAGTTCTTGCCCATGCAACGCTAGCGCCTACAGCTCTCCTTATAGGACAGGACAATTAGGGCTCAGGCTCTCCTTCCCGCCCTAAACTCTTGCAACACTGGTTCTGCACCAAACACGTGGCATATCACTGCCCCCCAACCTTAGCTAGCCGACCCTGGGCCTGTGAAGCCTGCTGGCGCCAGCCGACCAGATGGGCCCATGCGCCATTCTCCAGCAGGCCCAGCTCTTTTCCCGCCTCGGCTCCTGCTGTTCCAAGCACGGAATGCCCTGCCCCCTCCTTTCCCCTACCCCTTCTGCAAGCCCCAGATCAAGTCCTTCCGCCTCTGGGAAGTCTTGCCTGAGCTGGGATGAATTCTTATTGGGAGTTCTTGGCCTCCTTATCGCCTTCCTGGCTCCCTTAGTGCTCAATTTATTCCTATGGGAAGGTCTTCTGGAACCCCAGAAGCCAGCATCGGAACAGAACTGGCGTAAGGGTAGGTTCCTGCTCAGTAACCGTGTGTTGAATTGAACTGAAATAATTCCTTGTTCAAAGGACCATCTAACCCTGTCCAGACCTTAGACGGAAGAGGAGTTCCTCACTGCTACATCCACAGGCACACCAAGTTTGTCAGTCTGATTACTTCCAAAAAGAAGTGAACCTTTGGGAGGCAAGAAAGATTTCTTTGTCAGAGCCTCACCAGTTCATGCCTCTTGTTGCAAACACTCGGCATAGCAATAAAAGTGGATATCATTTAGGGGTACCTGAATACTTGTATTCACTGAAATTCATACATCAATCCTGGAACCAAAGAGTCCTAGAGTTGGAAGGGTCTCAAAGATCCTACCTGACCTGAGGTCCAGCATAATGGTTTGCCCTGAGAAAGTACTTTAAAATGCCCATTGTATTCTGTGAACCTCTTTCAGGATATCTCTGAGAGCCATTACCCAGCTTCTACCGGGGACCTGCAGAGTGGCAAGGCCTTTAAAGCTATGGACAGTTACCCTCCCACTCCCACCTCCTATGTCTGAGGCTGGGTAGGATCTAAAGGACTCAACAGCCTGGGAGGGCAACCAAAGATGACAAGAAGACCAACTCCAGTCAAATGGGTACAGATAAAGCAGGGTCCTGCCTCTCTGGACAGCTCAGAAGTTTAGAGGTCTCATTCTGGGTCCCCCTATTTCCCCCAGTCTCTCCACTCAATAATCCAGCAGAGAGGACTTATTATTGTGGTTCTGTCCATTTCAGTTGTATCTGACTCTTCATGACCCCATTTGGAGTTTTCTTGTCAGAGATACTGGAGAAGTTTGCCTTTTCCTTCCTTTTACAGATGAGAAACTGAGGCAAACAGGGTTAAGTGACTTATCCAGGATCACACAGCTAGTAAGTGTCTGAGGCCAGATTTGCATTCAGGAGGTTGTCTTCCTGACTTCAGACACCTAGACACCCTGAGAAGAATTACAGAGCAATGGAAAGAGGTAGAAATCTACCTGGTTCAAACCTGCCTCTGTCACTACCTGTGCAATCCTAGGCAAATCAGTTAGCCTCTTTGAACCTCAGTTTCCCCATCCGTAAAATGTTGCTTTTCACCCGCATGGCCTCTGAAGAGCCCTTCTAGCTCTAAATCTGTGGTCCAGTCTTCAGCTGCTGAAATGGTTGTCTTCTAAAACTGATAGAACCACGACACCTACCTCCCACGATTGTTAGGAACCAATGTGATAATAAAATATTCTGCAAACTTTAAAGTGCTACATAAATCCTAGCTATAATTTTCATCACTATCATTATTCCTCCAGTCAAAAATCTTCAGGTTGCTCTCCGTTGCCTCTAGGATAACATATAAAATCCTCAGCTTCATATTCAAAGCCTTCTTTTAGTCTGGCTCATACCTACCTGCCCAGTCTCATCTCATGTTGCTCCCCTCTGCATAGTCTTCATTCTAAGTGGCCTGCTGACTGCTCCCCCTACCCGATGTTCCATCTCTCACCCCTGCCCCTCCCCACGCACACACTTGTCTTCACACAATTGTCCCCCTGTGTCCCAGAATGGATTCCCCCTCACCCCTTTGAGCTTCATAGCTTCTTTCCTTCAAAGCACACAGATCAAGTTCCCCCTCCTACACAAGGCCTTTCTTCATTCGACACCCCCTTTGCAATACACTTTCTCTCTCCGTGTCTTTGTCTCTCTCATCCCCTCTCTTTCCCTCTCCTTCTCCCTCCCTTTATGGCAGGTTCACTAGGAACTCTGCCTGCTCCTATTGGTGTTACAATAAACCTTGTCATTTGACTGGAAAAAAAACAAAAAACAAAAAAAGTGCCTTATGTATTTTGTATTAATTTATCAGAATAAAATGTATTTTCCCCAACCTTCCTAGTAAAATACAAGTTGTTTCAAATCAAGGATTGTTTTGTTTTTATATTTGTACCCTGTTTACTTAGCACAGTTCCTGAGACATACTAGGTGATTAATGAATTGAATTTGTGGGGTTACTGAAGCTAGTTTTTCTATCTAGACACCCTTTGGAACCTCTTTCTCTATTTGTCCCTGTGAGGAGTTATCGTAGCTGATAACTCCAGATGCTTCTGCTGCAAAAGTGAAGTAGAGAAATGGAAGAAAATGGTTGTAACACTAACATACATTTCAATAATTGACAAAGTATTTTCCTCAAAACAACTCTAAGCAGGAGGCAGGATAGTTCAGTGAAGAAGATTGAATACTAGCTCTATCATCTGTATGACCTTTGACAAATTACTTAACCTTTCTGGGCCTCAGTTTCCTCATATGTAAATTTAAGGGGCGGGCCTCCTATGACCTCTAAGGTCCCTTTTAACTCTAGAGTTATGATCTTATGAAAGTAGGCAGTACAAGTACTGATTTCTCTATGATTTTTATCCCATTTTGTGAATAGAGGCAGTGATTTGCCCACGGTCCCGTAGCCAGTTTTCCGAACTTATCTCAAAGTGAGCTCTGAGCACAAGGAGAGCTGATCACTGAAGAGAGAGATCACTGGAACCTCAAGAAGAAGCCAACCAACCAGGACACTGAGAGCAAGACAATGGAGAGAAGTCAACAGGAGAAAACACACCACAGAATCACAGAAAATCAGAATTAGAAAGGCTTTCAAAAGCCATCCAGTTCAACCCATACCTGAACAATTAGCTAGGTTTCCCCTGAGATCTCCAGTGAAGGGGGAGTCACTTACCTTCCAAGGGCCATCTGCCCCACTTGGCGACAATTCTGATTGTTCAGAAGTTGTCCCTTATTATCCTACCGATGTGGGATTAAAATTGTCCATCCTACAATAAAAGAGACTGAGGCAGAGCTCTGAGCCAATGGCAGTTTATTAAAGGGTCCATGGTACCCTCTAATGAAGTGAACCTCAGATCTTCCTCAAGATCTGAAATGTCCCATTCTTCTGAGACATTGTATATACAGAATTTGATACCCAAATATGCAAAAGAGGCGTGGTAAAATACAGAATCCCATTGGTTGACATATGACACATAAGCTAAAATAAGCAAAAATTATCAAATAAGCAAAAATTACAAAAGAGTATGGTCCAGAAGTACAAAAATAATTTGGAGGACTTTCCATGTAATTGAGTTACCTCCACCACATTGAGCTTGGTCACCACGACAGAGAAAAACAAGGGTGGGGAAGCCTCTAGTTAGCTTCCTATGATTAAGCAAATAAGTTTACAATCAGCAGTTCATGGCTCTGGGGCCAAATATACAGAACTTATAATCACTACCCCTATAGAATCATATCAAATTGATTGATTCTGATTGGAATAGAGTAGGGGCCCTCAATGAATCAACTTTCTCACCTAACCTGCCTTTTTATAACCATCATCACACAAGGCTGGATTTGGACCTACGTCCCCTGACACCAGAACTGGTGCCCTTACTACTCTCTGAGATAATTATGGAACACGAAACATTTTGGATGCAAGATATAGGGAAGATGGTGGGGAGGACAACGATGGGGAGTTTCAGGAGCTTCAAGAACCAAGGGAAGAGTGAAAGCAAACAGGAAGGGAGGTGGAAAGGTATCAATAACAAACTTTGTCTGCTTTCTTATTTTGCTTTCAACTCTGATCCCGGCAGCCTCCTCCTAGGTACCCCCTAAAATTATCCTACTGCAGGCACATGGAGCTTATCTGATGACTCTTCTAATTAGCCTGTTTTAAAAACAAAGTTTGGATAATCAAAGAAGCTAACTTAAAACAATATATGCATATCCTTTATGGGAGCTGGAGAAAA